CGGCGCGCGGCGCCGCGACTGAAGGGGGAGCGGGCCGGGGACAGACGGGCGTGGACGACGCGTCTCACGAGAGAAGAGGCGCCGACGCAGGTGTCGGAGATGGCGACGACAGCGCCCCTGCGGCGGACGCGATGCAGAGGGCGTTTTATCAGGTTGGCGTAGACTCGCCATTCGAAAGATCCGCGTCGATCCCGAGAAGTCCTCGCGGCAGCTGCTGCGGCCAGTGCGCGGCGTCGCCCGACCGCGCCCGCGGACCCAGAAGATCACGCGCAACCGTGGTCGCGAGCACTGGCCGAGGACGTGGCTGTGGAGTTGCCAGCCGTGCACTGTGCGTTTGTGGGGTGCATCTGCCAGTCGGAGGACGCAGAGGAGTAGTGCGAGCACGTTCGCGAGGTGCACGGCGACGTCGTGCTGCCCATCGCCGAATTGGTTCATCCGCTTGACGAGGACGAGGATCTCCGCATCGTGGCTGTGCACAATGAGATCGTTGCATCTGCCGTTCGGGGCGGGGCCCCGCTGTCGGCGCATCCCCCGCGCGGGCGGAGTCCGACCATGCACCCGAAAGCGACGCAGCAGAAACAGACATCGCGTCGCCGATTTGTTTCGCGCGCGCACGCATCCCCGGGCGGGAAGCCGACGGGGGAGCGAGATTCCTTGGGGGCAGCATCTCAGGCAGCCGTAATGGACCCATGCGTGGTGAGTCATTTTGGCGGTTGGACCGCGTCGGAAGGGCCGCTGCGGTTCAGCGTCGACGCTTGCCCTCAGGACTTCGCGGGCGAACGACGCACCGTTGCGCGGGGGCGCGCGTTGTCTAAGAGACGCAGATGCAATTTCGAAGAACAGCGGGCGTGAGTGGGAGGAGCGCAAAGTTGAGCGAGAGGAGAGAAAGCTGGTCGCGACGTCGCCGGAACACGCGCGATTTCGAGAGGAAATGTTCCTTGAAGCCGTCGCCATCTATGCGAACCAGGACATTCGTTGCCACGTCGGGGGGCAGAGAGCTGCGCAGTGGTCCAAGGAACGATGAGAGCAGCTGCTCTGGGTCGCAGCCAGAGACCGCCCTTGCCATGCGGGGGGGCAGAGGCGGCCGCACATGGTGGAGGGCAAAATACGGTGGTTGGGATACCACGACAAGGAGTGCGCAAGCTTGCCCGCGCGGCTACCGCTGGCGAAGGGGATGCCCGTGGCATTGGGGGATCACGTGGACCGGTCGAAGAAGCAGCTTCTGAGGGGGCGCGCAGTGACGATCCATGGGCGGGCGTTGCACGAGGACGAGGTCCTGGGAGATGAAGACGAGGATGTCTTGGTGCGTCTTCCGAGAGCGACTGCGCTGAATTCCTCACGTGGCGGACTGGCACTTGCCGGGCCAGGGGCCGGGTCTGCATCCGATCTTCCCATCGAAAGGGCGGCAGTGGTTCTTGGGCGGGTATCGCAAGCATCCAGTATTGAATGCGAAACGCACGCAGTCTATGATGACCGCGTCTTTGGCAGCGACGGCGCACTCCGCGCAGGGCCGGGCCGCGGGGGCAGCGATAGCGGACCTCGAAAGAGGGCGCGGCGCGAGTTCGATGTCTGGTTGCGTTGCCATCGCGCGCGCGCGCAGGCGAGAGAATTTTCGGATCCTCTGGTCTTTTAGTCGATAACCGCAATACCAAGGCGAGGTGGTTGGCACGAAAAAGCTGTCGCAGGTGCTGCGAGGGGAGAGCGTGGGTTGAGATGAGAGGAAGGCGGCGCTAATGCCGCGAGACCAGCGCGAGCGGTGCCGGCGGAGGTTGCTGGTAGAGGCGTTCTCGAAGTACGAGTTCCAGAGGAAAGAGAGGCCAGCGTTTTGTAAAGAATGCGCGTCGGAGATGAAATTGCGGGCGAGAAATGGCGCAAAACGTGCCAGGGGCGGGCAACCCGAGCGGAAGGCGACATTCCGACGTGGGACGGCGGCAGACAAGCAGGCGACGAGCTGGGGGCAAAAAACAGTTGGAACCATGTGTTTCGCCAAGTGCAGCCATGTCAAAGTCAGGCAGAAGTCGCGCAGTGGCAACGCCGAGTGGAACGGGGGCGTCGGCACAGTGCGTTGTTCGAACGTCGCGTGTCTCTCCCTTTTCGAAGATGCGGCGGAGATGTCGGAAGCACAGGAGAAGCGCAATGCAGCCGGAGAGAGGCTGCGTTGGAAATGCGCGGAGGAGCGCGACAAGGAGACGCGAGAGTCGAACAATCGCAAACGGAAGGCGGAGGCAGAAGCGGAGCCGCTGACGTGCTGCGCGCCCGTATGCGGGGTGTCTTTCTGGGGGGCCGGTCATTTAAATCGCAACCAAGTGCAAGAGCACCGCGCGAGGAAAGGAGCAGCGGCGGTGCGCGCAGGATGTCGCGAGAAGAACGTCACCGCGAGGGGAGTAGCCGACGCGGCGAAGCGTTTGAACAGGCTGTTGACGTCGGCGCAGCGCGATGTTCGAACGACGCGCGTCTCTCCCTTTTCGATGAGAAGGCGGAGATGTCGGAACCACTGACGAAGCGCAGTGCAGCCGGAGAGATGGTGGAGATGCGCGGAGGAGCGCGACAAGGAGACGCGAGAGTCGAACAATCGCAAAGGAAGGCGGAGGCGGAAGCGGAGCCGCTGACGTGCTGCGCGCCCGCATGCGGGGTGTCTTTCTGGGAGCCCGGCCATTTAAATCGCAATCAAGCGCAAGAGCACCGCGCGAAGACAGGAGCAAGAGTGGTGTGCGCAGGACGTCACAAGAAAAGCGTCACCGCGAAGGGAGTAGCCGATGCGGCGAAGCGCCTGTTCGCTCGGCAGCAGCTCATACGCGACAAACAGGAGAGCGAACACTTCGCAAGGAAAAGTAAGGTTGCATGCGCAGATTGCATTGCCGACGGGTTCACGGCACGCTGTTGGCAGGCCTTTCAGCGCAGTGGCAAGTGCCAGAGGGAATGGCCGAAGTCGGCTTTCTCCGTGGGCGCTAGCCATGTCGCGCGTGACGAGAAGAAGGGCACTTTGAAACGCAAGGCATGCGAATGGTACCATTCAGCTGCCCGTAGAAGTAGGACTAGCGGGGGTGCGAGCGAGCGGGATGACGAAGCCGATGTCAAGAACAACGGAGGAGGAGAAATCGGAGGAGGAGGAGGAGGAGGAGCAGCAGCAGGGGGAGGATGGGGGAGAGGCGGAAGGCGGGGGGATCAAACAAAGAGGAGGAGGAGGAGAAGGAGGAGGAGGAGGAGGAGGAGGAGGAGGAGGAGGAGGAGGAGGAGGAGGAGGAGTCACGATCTGGTTTTGCGGCGCCACGGGGGCGTATTGGGGCTAATTTTTGAGCCTCGTGGGAGCTTCGGGGGACCTGTTAGAAGCCTTTGGGGCTCTTTGGGGGTTCCGCGGGTGGGGCTTCTCGCGGCAGGATGGGGGCGTGTCCACGCCAACTTGCAGCAGGATGGCGGCGTTTTCGGGCGAAAGGCTCGAAACGTTGCCCTCCGAACTCCCTCCTGGGGCCGGTTGGGGGCCGTCTTGGGCCGTCTGGGGCGCTTCTTGGGCCGTCCGTGGGACCGTTTGGACCTCTCTCGGGAGTTCATTGGGCTGTCCTGGGTTGATCTCGTAGGTTGTTTGGCCCATCTCGGACGTTGCGGAACCGCAACAAACGAATATGGCAAAACGCACATTTCGCGAAGGGGATGAAACGATTCTGTTTTTTGGGGGTCCGGCATGGAACGCATATGGGGGGCCTCTTGGGTCGTCTTGGGGGCTTCGGACGCCGTCTGGAGGCCATCGTGGGCGTTTTGGAACGATATTGCGGCGACTCGTCGCCGATTTGGAGCGTCTGGGGGGGCGTTTTGGTACCCTCTTGGCCCGTTTTGAAGCCCTCTGCTCCCCCATTGCGAGTTCGGCGGTGGGTCGTCTGAGGCGGGGGGGGTCAAATTCCCGGTTTTGGGTCCTTGGGGGGGTTATAGGGGGGGGACAATCTCACACGCCTAAAGACCCACAAGGGGTCGCCGGATTCGTGTATGTATATATTTGTGTGGTGTCCTTGGGCGTCTTCACTACAGCTCTCCAAAATGGGCCCCATAGGCCATCTTGTTCCACGTAGGAGGTCGCGTTCCCGAGGCGTTGGGCGAAATTCCGCGACAAACCGTAGCGATAACGTGAGTTGGGAGTCTGGGGCACTTAGTTAGTGGCTCAATGCAGGGAGCCCGAGTGGACCTATTAACGCTCCACTTAGTGCCTCGCGGCACGTTCGGAAAACACCGACGAGGAATGGCAGGCGGAAAAGGTATGATAAGGAGAAGCACGGGAGTGAGGGATGGTAAGTAGGAGTGTGGGGAGGGCGCGGAGAGAGGGGGAGGAGGCTTTGAAGGACGGGGAGGGGGATGTGGAGAACCAGGAGGGAGGAGGATTACCAGCAGCATCACGAGGAGGAGGAGGAGGATGAGGAGGAGGAGGAAGAGGAGGAGGAGAAGAAGAAGAATACGAAGGATGAGGAGGAGGAAGAGGGGGGATGATATATATATATATATATACATATTTGTTACCAGGGCATAGGATAACTCGCAGCCGCTTGCTTGCCCGCCGCATAGTTGACTGTGGGCGGGCACGGTTTGGCCGATGGGGTGGACGCGCACTGCGGACAGCTTGCTTGATATGCTTGGAATCTGAAGTGCATCGACCTCTTGGCGACTGATAGCGTGATGCAGTCAATCTTGACAGGTTGACGCTCGTTGACCGTTGATATTGTTGCCTACCGATGCCAAAGTGTAATACACGATGGGGATCTCTATGTGCGGCAAATAGAATTAGAATAGCCGAGTGAGAAACAACTGAGCATAATCGTTTGGAGCTCCGCGCGGATTTCCTGGATCCCCGCTGGAGGAGCGCGCCAGAGGCGCCGCCAGGGGGGCTCAGCGCCGATCGAAGCAATCCGCGCGGAGTGCCGATAGTTATATATGTGTGCAGTTTGCTTGCTCCTCTGCATGTGTGGTTTGGGAGGGGCAGCACCAGGAGCAGCCAGAGTGCGACGCCCCCCCTCGAGGTGTTCTTCTCGCAGCAGCGCCCCGCGAAGGCCGTCAAATACACCACCAACGAAGAGTACACCGAGGCCCTCGTGGAGGAGTGGAGGGGGATACTGGGAGGACTAGAATCGAAGGCGAAACATCTGCATACTCATCTTCGTTCAGAACTCCACGCGGATTTCTTGGCTCGGCGCTGGACCCCCCTTGGCGACGCCTCCGGCGCCGCCCCTGGCGTGCTCCACGCGCGATGGAGGGACCCTCAGCGCAGGTCCGAGAAATCCGCGCGGACCTCCAAAAGTTAATGGTTATGCAGATTGTTCTCCACCTGGAGAAAGCAGGGGCCAGAAGAGCGAGCCGAGGGCAGACGAAGAAGAGCAGGAGGAGGAGGAGGAGCAGGAGGGAGAGGAGGAGGAGGAAGAGGAGGAGGAGGAGTGGAGGAGGAGGAGGAGGAGGAGGAGGAGGAATGATGATGATGAGGAGGAGGAGGAGGAGGAATGAGGAGGAGGCGAACGAGAAGGAACAGTATGCGGGTGAGGATCGAGGACGAGGGGGCTGCTTCAAGCCCCTAGCTCTCTGAGCCCCGCTCCGCACGGCCCCTGCGCGGGCACGGGCGCGCGCTGTGCGCGCGAGCTCTGCAACGCCATGCGATCCGCACGACGCTCGTCAACGGGGGGGACACGTCTGAGCTTGCTCCCCCTCCTCCTCCTCCTCCTCCTCCTCCTCCTCCTCCTCCTCCTCCTCCGCCCCTTCCTCCCCCTCCTCTCCTCGTCTCCTCTCCTCCTCCTCCTCCTCCTCCTCCTCCTCCTCCTCCTCCTCCTGAGCGTGCCCTCCCCCCCCCTTTGCCGCGCGCTCCTTCTCCTCATCGCCGCTCGCTGCGCCCCGTCCGGCCAAGTGCATATCCCATGGCTGCCTCCGCACACGGCGAGGGCCCTCGCTGCTGCGACCGAGAGGGCCAGAGGAGGAGGAGGAGGAGGAGGAGGAGGAGCAGGAGGAGGGGGAGGAGGAAGGAGGAGGAGGAGGAGAGAGAGGAGGAGGAGGAGGAGGAGGAGGAGGAGGAGGAGGATGGAGGAGGAGGAGGAGGAAGGGAAGGAGGAAGAGAAGGAGGAGGAGGAGGAGGAGGAGGAGGAGGAGGAGGAGGAGGAGGAGGAGAAGGTGCCGATCGCTTTGCTCTCTCCTCGTCTTCGCCTCCTTTCGAAGCCTCCCAGATGGGGTCCGAGTACAGTCGGGGCGCTGAAGAGGGAATATTTTTCGTTTGGGATGGGCTCTGTGTTCCTTGGTTGTTTGACTGTTTGCCTTAGCTTGACCTTCGGTGTTCGACTGGAAATCGAAGTTATACTTAAGGAGAAGAGGGGCTTCGTTCCTTATTTATCGTTTCTTAGGTCAACGCCCCGACTGTAGATGGCGTCGGAGGATCGCGCCGCATCGCCGACGCGCCGCCGATGCGGCTCGATGTGCAGCCCTGGTTGCTTCGCGTCGACGTCGCCGATGCACCGCCGATGCATCGCCGGTGCATCTCTCCGGTGCATATCGCCGGTGCATCGGCGATGCGGCGCGAGCCTGCGACCCCATCCACTCCGAGCCCCTCTGGGCGGCCGCTGTTCTTGCATCGGGGTCTCCTGGGGGGCCCTCGTCGCCAGGAGCCGAGTGGAGGTGCCTCGCCGTGCCCACCCGGGCCTCCTTGGCGGGCGCCCGCAACGCTGCGGCCGTGTGCGTGGCGCTGCGCGCTGTTTCCGATGCCGGGCAGCGCGCCGCGGAGAGATGCCTGCAGCGCTGCCCTCCCTCCGCTTTTCGCTTTGAGGGGCCTCCTGGGAGGCTCAGGAGGGGACCAAAAACACACAGACACAATGAGTCGTCGATGCCCAGGAAACTGATGGAAAGAACATGGGAAGTGTGGAGGGGGGAAGGCGACAACCCCGAAAAAAGATGGGAAACTATGTGGAGACCTGGGATTCGCGTGTAGTTATTTGTGTGTCCTTGGGCCTCGTTAGCCACTGCGGAAAAGCCGCCTGCAAGTTCTGCCTGCTCCGAGCGCCTCCCTGGAGAGGCCCAGGGAGCAGCAGTATCGGCAGCTGTCGGTCTCCTCCGTCTGCTCCCGGACACTGCGCCTGCAAGCAGCCCGAGCCTCAGCGCGCGTCTCGGGCGATGTGCGTACAGTCAAAAACCCTAATATGGACGCACGACTTTGCTCAGGGTACCCTTGCGTCCTTGCTCTTCCTTGCTGTTGCGTCCTTGGGGTTTTCGTCGTCCGCCGCCCCAAAAATCCCAGCTTCGGCTTCCAAGGGTCTCGCGTCCTTACCGCGCGTCCTTATTAGGGTTTTTGACTGTGCTACAGTGGGAGCCCGTGCCACGAAGCCCCACTCGTTTTACCAGGGTTCCCTGGACATCTGTGGTCCGTGGCACAGTGGAAGGCCTGCAGCCGGCATGGCCTTCCTGAGTGTCTCGGCGCTGAGACGGCTTGCGCGGGCCGTCGATCGACCGTCTGGCCCAGAGGGTACCTGGACTTTCGTCGCTGGCAGCAGCGGGGCAAGAGCTCCAGCCCAGGCCCGAGAAACTGCGAGGAGGGGGGCGATAAGGAGGTGGAGGCGGAGGAGGTGGCGGACGAGAAGGACGAGGAGGGGGAGGGGGTCGAGGAGGTGGTGGAGGGCAAGGAGGAGGAGGTGGGGGAGGGGGAGGAGGTGGAGGTGGTGGAGGAGGAGAGGAGGAGGAGGAGGAGGAGGAGGAGGAGGAGAGTGCGAGGTTTTTTTGAGGGCTGGGCTGTTTGCCACGTGCTTCTCGTGGGCTGGCCTCCGAACTGCACTCGGAGAGCACCCGCCATCCACGCACACCGATCCTGGCCGGACCGATCCTGGGCCCCTCCGAAAAAATGCGCCTGGCCAGGATCGGTGCAGCTGTATGCCCAGACCTCCTTGGCGCCTCGAGTCTCTCGAGGCAGTCCAAACACCCCTGTGCGTCGGCGGCTATGGGCAGAGCGCCTGCGCTCGCGGAGTGCGCCGATGTGGGGCCTGCAGCTGCGAATTGGGCCGCCAGGCACGTTGGGGAGGAAGGGGGAGGCCCGGCGCGGGCGGGAGGGAGGGGAGACGCCGGGCCCGCCCAGAGCAGGGCCAGGCCGCGGCGGGGGGGGGGGGGGCGTGTGGGTCACTTTATAACCAGAAGCGCACTTCGCAACCAGATGGGTCACTTTACAACCAGCTTACAAAATCCGAGAAGGACACTTTACAACCAGGAAGGGCACTTTACAACCAGGCAAGTAAAAACACATATTGAATGCACGCGGGCCTTTCCCTGAAATCTCCGTGGGCAAGCGCAAGGGTGGCTTTGGGTTCTTTGATGCATGTTGGTTGTGAAGTTGCCCATCGCGCACGAAGAAGCACTGCGCACGCGTTGGCGATGCGGCGACCTGGTGCGCTATGGTATGTTGCGTGCTGGTGGGCGGATTCGGGTTTTGACCTGCTCTCTAAGCTCTGTCGGTCAGTTATGCCATTGCTTGCTCTGCCTTTTTCTGACGGACGAAGGCTAGTCGCGCAGGACATACGAATAAACCATGATCCCGTCCAAGACTGGAGCTGCATGGCAGCGGGAAGCTGTAGTGGGAGATGTGGTGGTAGCGGGGGCTACAATGGGAACTGCATGGTGTTGGGAAGCTGCGGTGGCAACTGTGGTGGTCGCCAGGCAGCGGTGGGAACTGTGGTGGTAGCTGGGCTGCAATGGGATTTGCGGTGGTAGCGGGGGGTCAGTCGGAATTGTGGAGGTAGCGGGGCTGCAGCGGTAAGTGTGGTGGTCGCAAGCACAAAGGTGGCGGTGATGCGCTGTCACGGTGGCTCAAGCTGCTGCGCTGGCACGGTGGCTGAGGCTGCTGCCCGAGCAGGATACCTGCGTTGCTGCGCTGGCACTGTGGCTGACGCTGGAAGGAACGATCTTCGAACTAGTTGCATTTATTCGGAACGTTGAACCTCGATCTTCCAAGAAGAGGAGCAGCCGGGGGCCACCTGGAGCTGGAGCGCTTAGCCCCTTGCAGAACACCGTGGGGCTTCAAGGGCCAACGTGGCCCAAGAGACCCGCGGTGCCAATGGCCTAGTTCCCTGGGGCGCTGGGCCCTTGTGGAGGCCACTGGGCTCGCTTACTGTGAGGGATCCCTAAAATGGGCAGCGCGTCGCCCTGAGCCTTCCTACGTATGCTGTCGCCTTATTCCCGTGCGAGCACGGGGCCCTTGTTGAGGCCGCTTGGCCCCTGCTAGCAAGCCCTGCCTTAGTCTGCTGGGCTCAGAGCGCCAGAGCGTCCAGGCGCTCGGGCTCAGAGGCATCGCTGGGGCCTGCTCAGAGCGTCCAGGCGCTCGGGCTCAGAGGCATCGCTGGGGCCTGCGCAGAGCGTCCAGGTCCTCGGGTTCAGAGGCATCGCTGGGGCCTGCGCAGAGCGTCCAGGTCCTCGGGCTCAGAGGCATCGCTGGGGCCTGCGCAGAGCGTTCAGGCTCAGAGGCTCGGGCTGCGCAGAGAGTTCAGGCGCTCGGGCTGGCTCTGGATCACTTTTCAGAGCGTCCGCGCGCCCTGGAGCACTTTTGAGAGCGCCCACTTGCTCTGGAGCATTTTTCAGAGCGCCCAATTGCTCTGGGGCATTTTTCAGAGCGCCCACTTGCTCTGGAGCACTTTGCGGAACGCCCAAACACGCACGGCCACTCTAAGCTGGTTGTAAAGTGGTCCGTTCTGGTTGTAAAGTGGCCCGTTCTGGTTGTAAAGTGGTCCGTTCTGGTTGTAAAGTGGGCCGTTCTGGTTGCAAAGTGGACGTTCTCGATGAAAAACCATACTTTCCAATCCTATGTTGGTTGTAAAGTAACCCATCTGGTTGTAAAGTGGTTGTTCTGGTTGTAAAGAGATCGAATCTCGGGGGGGGGTGCTGGGGCGGCGGGGAGGCAGCGGCCCGCGCCCCCCAGGCAGCCGGGGGGGGGGGCGGCCGAACCAGGCGGCGGGGGCGGCAGGGCCAGCGCGAGTTGGAGAGGCAGGCAAAACATGCAGAGTAAGGGCGCAGGGATCAGGGGCCACATGCGAACCCTACCCCTACCCCCCACGATTTCTGAGGGGGAGGGTGGGGTTCACGTCGTGCGGGAGCTCCCGAGCGAAGTGAACCCCACGCTCCCCCTCAGAAATCGTGGGGGGGTAGGGGTAGGGTTCGCATGTGGCCCCCTAGGGATGTCCTTCGGTACCAAGCAAGGCATGGGAGCCTGGTCCACCCTCTGACTTCGGTCTTCAGCGTTGACTGGCGTCGATCAGCGTCTGGAGTGGGTGAGAGAACGCCGATCTGGAGTCGGCTAGCGCCGACGAGCGTCGATCTAGCGTCGATGAGCGTCGATTCAGCGTCGACTGGCGTCGATTCGCAAGTGCCGACAGGATGCTATGGGAGGCTTCCCGTGAGTTGTCACCGTCTGCGGCCCGTCCATCGCGGTTACCACTGGCCAGCCCTGCAGGGTGCCGGCGGCCCGCCGCACCAGAAGTGCCAACCTCGGCGTCCGGGGTCTTTTGTAGCGCCTCTGCGCGCCCGCCCTCCCTATAGAGATTTCTCGACGGCACCGGACTTCCAGGGGTCAGGACCCTTAGGAGGAGGAGGAGGAGGAGGAGGAGGAGGAGGAGGAGGAGGAGGAGGAGGGGGAGTGAGGGAGAGGAGGAGGAGTGAGGTAGAGGAGGTTCCCCCGGGGCCGGCTCCTCCTCCCGAGTCGTTTGTTGTGGCGCTCCCAGGGCCCGGAGGCCCCCCCCAGAGAGGCCGAAGCCTGCACAAAGCAGATCGCCGCCTCGAGCCTCTCGAGGCGCTGGCGAGGACTGGGCAGCTGGTGCCCTCCCACGGAAGCTCCTCCGCCCCCGCACTCGGCAGGCCCCACTGCCACCGCGCGGGCACGAGCGCGCGCCCTGCGAGCGCGAGCCCCTCGGCGCCTGCTGGCCTGTACGCAGCAAGCGTGCAGGCCAGAGAGCAAGCACTTCCTTGAACGCGGTGGCGACAGGCACACTGGAGGACGGAAAGGGTTTAGCCGGGCCTGTCCCTCTACATGGGGGACATTCAAAAGTAGTAAAAACATAGTTTGGGGACTATTTGTTTTTGTATTGTTTGACGATGTTTTGAGTATTTTTTTTTTTGTCGAAAATCGCCCTGTAGTGGGACGCCCGACTTAAGGATAGAGAGATTGATGGCAGGGGCGAGAAGCGCGACCCGCCTCCATACATCCGCCTCCGCCACCTTCCAGAGGATGAGCAAGTACAGTCGAACCGAGGTAATTAGAAGATCGGGGTGCGTTCGGAGAGGGAACCATCGTGCTCTTCGTGCTTGATGGGTGTTCTTGTACATCCTCGGGAGGGCACCCTGTCATGTTCTGTGCGTTTGGGTCTGGCGGAGGGTCTCATGTTCTTGAAGGATGTTATTCTGGCATAGGTCCGCCTGCACTACCTGCCAGAGGATAATAGGGGAACGAACAATGGCATAAACATAAAAACTCGGAGGTGCACGCGGACTTCGATCGGCGCTGGACCCCCTTCCCTGGGGCAACCGCTGGTTTCGTCGACGGCTGGTTTCGCCCGGCTGGTTTCGCCGCCCAGCGAAACCAGTTGCAGTCGGCGAAACCAGCTGCAATCGGCGAAACCAGCTGCCGTCGGTGAAACTGCCAGATCCGATCCGCCAGCTAGGGTCCGCCCGCCCGACCCGACCCGCCCGTTACAGTTCGCGCGTGCTCGGTCGAGCGCGCCACACAGTTTAATGTCCTGCCCGCCCGTCGGAGGGTGAAAGAAGGGGTCCGCAACAGGGGGTCTGCAAAAGGGGCTGAATGGCCCATGTATGCTCAATATATCGTTAATGTATATGCTCGGGTATGATTGGCATCCACTGTTGGCGGTCATCAGGGCCAGTCGTTCGTGCCTGCGTGTTGCCCGCGCGGGCAAACGCGCCGTGCATCCATTATCGTTCATGCGTGTGGGCGTTATTGTATATCGCGCGTGGGGCGGCAAAATGGAGCGCAAGTGTGTTTTGATTATGCGATTGATGGTCGCTTATGTTCCCAAACGATGTGTTGTCAGTTTTGCAACGGGTCCCGCCATTCTCCCAACATGTGAATTCCATGTTTCTTTTCGCCAACATGTGAATTCACATTTCTTGTTCCCAAAATGTGAATTCACATTCTGGCCCCACATGAAGAATCCTTTACTAATTTCCAAAATGTGTATTCACATGCTCATTTTTCCAACATGTGAATTCACATGTTCTTTCTTCACAAAGTGTGAATCCCCATGTTGCTTTCCCCCACAATGCGAATTCTCATCTTGCCCTGGCCTTCACGATCCCCAGAACGGAGGCGCAGTGCCCCGCATGTCAGATTGGCTGAGCTGAGTTTTGACACTCACCTTGCCGCCTGTGATTATTCCAACCTTTTCCGCTTGTGCCCTCAGCGCACGTTGCCTCTGTCGCGTCTCCCTGGCCCCCCGCCCCTTTGCTTCGTTTACCCTCCAGTCTAGCGCAGGGGTGCAGCCCGGGAGCTTCAAGCGGCTTCCCTGCCGAGCACAGCAATCGAGGATGCATCGCCCATGCATGGCCCATAGAGCCACCACTGCTGGGGCATGGCGCCCGACCCCCGCATTCAGGCTCCAAGCCCGACCCGACCCGCCTGTTAGGGTCCGCCCGCCCGACCCGAGCTGACCCGCCCGCTGGGGTCCGTCCGCCCGACCCGACCCGCCCGTCAGAGTTCGCGCGTGTTCGGTCGAGCGTGCCCCACACTTTGATGTCCCGCCCGGCCCGACCCGCCCGTTCGGGCCCGAAAGATCCTGCACGGATTCCCATGATCAACGTACCAGAGATGGCGTGTTGGAAGGATTCAGGATTATGCAGGTGCAACAGTTATGTTGGTTCGCGGTGTTGAACTCCCAGAAATGGCGTTCTGGCACGATTCTGGATCGTCAAGACGCAGCAGTCAGGTTGATCCGTGGCGTTGAAATCCCGAGAACCATATTTTGGCATGCTTCAGGGTCTTAAAATGGTTGTCTTCTAACGAGGCAGCTCCCTCAATGGAACTGAGCCGTTGTAGGGGCCTATGAAGAGGGAGCTTGGAGGGAGGGTTCATTCCAACATCGTTGATGATTTTTGGGTTTACACTGGTCCTCCTCCTCCTCCTCCTCCTCCTCCTCCTTCTCCTCCTCCTCCTCCTCCTCCCCCCTCCTCCTCCTCCTCCTCCTCCTCCTCCTCCTCCTCCTCCTCCTCCTCCTCCTCCTCCTCCTCCTCCCCCTCCCCATCTCCCCCTCCTCCTCCTCCTCCTCCTCCTCCTCCTCCTCCTCCTCCTCGTCCTCCTCCTCTTCTTCCTCCTCGTCTCCCCGACCCCTTTCCCGGGGGTGTTTTTTCGTCCCGGATATGAGTGTATAGATATACATTTTTATATTTATATATATATATATGTATATATGTATATCTACATATATGTATATATATGTATGAAGACCCCGGGGCCCGATGACGGGCCCCGGAGGCCGAAATCCAGGATAAACAACCGGGTTGAACGAGCCAGATCCTCGGATCTCAGTTCCCCTTGCTCCGGCTGTTCAAGCAGTTGTCTCCCGCATATCATAACGATGGGTGCCCTTCCCAGGGACATCCTTGCATCCCTGCCCTCCGACCCATCCCTGGCCACTTCCGCTGGTCAGACCTGGTTCGGAAGACGTGCCCATGGGCCTCCAAGGCACCTGCACCCTTATCGCGCCTCCCGATGACACCTTGGCATCGCTCGGACGTGTGCATTTTTTTTCTCGGCGAGGGCCGTGGAGGACCATCCTGGACCATCGAGCAAAAAAGAAACACGCACGACGCCCAAACATGCACGGGAAATGGACGCCCGAGCGACGGCAAGACGCGGGCCGACTGCAGCCGCGGTCGCCGTCGTGGGCGCCGCCCTTGTGGCCCGCGGCGCCGGCGGGGCCCCGAGGTGGCGCCTGCGGAGGCCGAGGAGCCCGAGGGCGAGGGCGGCGGGGTGCTGCAGCTGGACGAGGAGCGGTCGGCGGAGCTCGCCCTCCGCGAGGAGCCGGGCGAGGAGTCCCAGCAAGGGGCTCGGCGGCGGCCGGGGGCCTGGAGGGGAGGGGAGGGTCGAGGAGCGATCTCCTCCTCCTCCTCCTCCTCCTCCTCCTCCTCCTCCTCCTCCTCCTCCCTCCTTCCTCCTCCTCCTCCTCCTCCTCCTCCTCCTCCTCCCTCCTCCTCCTCCCCCTCCCCCTTCTTCTCCCCCTCCTCCTCCTCTCCTCCTCCTCCCTCCCTCCTCCTCTTCCTCCTCCTCCTCCTCTCTCTTCCTCCCTCCCTCCTCCTCCTCCTGGAGGGGGAGGTGAGGGTCGAGTAGCGAAAGCTTCGGCTGAGGACAGGGTGCCCACCCCTCTGCCCCCCTCCCCCGCCCGTTTTCCCCGCTCGGGGCCTCCTGGGAGGCCCTCGTCGCGACCGCCGGTTTCGCCTCGAGGTCCTGGCCAGGACGCAGCCTGGCAGAGGTCGGCGGCACACCCAGCCGGGGGCTCGGCGGCGGCCGGGGGCCTGGAGGGGAGGGGGAGGGTCGAGGAGCGACCTCCTCCTCCTCCTCCTTCTCCTCCTCCTCCTCCTCCGCCTCCTCCTCCTCCTTCCGCCTTCCTCCTCCTCCTCCTCCTCCTCCTCCTCCTCCTCCTCCTCCTCCTCCTCCTCCTCCTCCTCCTCCTCGCCCCTCCTCCTCCTCCTCCTCCGCCTCCTTCCTCCTCCTCCTCCTCTCCTCTCTACCCCCCCCCGTTTTCCCCGCTCGGGGCCTCCCATGGGAGGCCCTCGTCGCGAGCGCCGGTTTCGCCTCGAGGTCCTGGTCAGGACGCAGCCCGGCAGAGGTCGGCGGCACGCCCTCAGTCGCCGAGGACGAAAGAACCCCTGCCCTAACCCGAACAACGCGATGAAAACGTAGCCTCACTGAGGTCCCCGTCTTTGCATCAGGTATAAGAAATCTGGGCGGCTTGGTGCGATACACCTGCAGAAGAGACCTTCTATCCCTAATGTCAGGTCGGGCATGTCTCCCTACGGGCCGATTTTGGAGAAAAAATCAAAAGTAGTCAGAACATACTCCCTAAAATGTTCCAAAATAGTCAAAAAATCGTCCCCAGACTATTTGTTGACTATTTTTGAATTTTCCTTCTGTAGAGGGACAGGCCCGACTGAACCCTCATGTGTTTGGCCCTCCCAATTTGGGCCCCCTCCCAAAAGGTCAGGGGTCCTTGAGTGCGAATCGCTGAAATGAGAGGGGGGCAGGCCTTCTGAGAAGGCGGCGCGGGGCTCTGCAGAAGCCCCTTCTGGCCTCTGGGAGGCCGCCCCCCGTCCCGCCGCGCCCCTCTCCTCCTCCTCGCCCTCCTCCTCGTCCTCCTCCTCCTTCTCCTCCTCCTCCTCCTTCTCCTCCTCCTCCTCCTCCTCCTCCTCCTCGTCCTCCTCCTCCTCCTCCTCGCCCTCCTCGTCTGGGAGCTCTCTCGGGAGGCCAGGGGCTTTCGGGCCTCCCGAGAGGAGGCTCGCCCTCGCTGCCCGACGCGGACCCGACGCAGATGTGGAGCGGACTCGACGCGGAGCCGATGCGGGTTCGGCACGGATCCGACGAGCCCGACGTGGGTTCGGCACGGATTCGACGAGCCCGACGTGGATTCGGCACGGATTCGACGAGAGGGTCCGGCTCCGATTCAAGGCAGCCGTGCGGACGTACGACGGTCTATGGTTGCGCAGTCGTTTCCCTCGTCTAGGGAGTCGAGAGGCGAGAGGGTCAGAGGAGGCAATGAAGAATGCCGAAGCAGCGACGACTCGTCTTGGAGAGCCCTCGTCGCCGCGGCTGGATGCTGGATTCGCTTCGAGATCCTTGCCAGAATGCACCCCGGGAGAGGTCTGGGGAGCAGCGTTCAGAGGTCAGAAAGAATGCGCTCTGTGTTCGCTTGGAGGGGGGCGGGGGCGTTTGGAGCTGGACCCCCCCCCGGATGGAGGGGGGAGGAGTTCGAACGCCCCTCCCCCCCTCCCCTCCCCTCCTCCCCTACTTCTCCTCTCTCCCTCTCCTCGGGCTGGCGCCTGCGTCGGCGGCGGCTGGCGGCGGCGGAGGAGACGACGACTTCCTCTCCTGGGCCGGCGCTAGCGCCTGCGGCGGCGGGCGGCGGCGGCGGGGAGCGTCGACGAGGATGGCGGCGACGACGATGACGACGACGACGACGCTCCGCCACTGTGCGTTGTTTTTTCCCGAAGATGAGGTTCTTGCTATTCCCCATATCCAAAGGATGGGGTTCTTGTTATTCTCCGACCGCGCCGGACCACCCATACCATGATCATACCATGATGGTGACCATGGTTGGGTGAGAGTATGATGTGAGTCTGATGGTGATGGTGAATGGTAGATGAGTATGATAATGATGATGATGATGATGATGATGATGATGATGATGATGGTGGTGATGATGATGATGCTGATGCTGATGCTGATGCTAATGCTGATGCTGATCCTGATGCTGATCCTGATGATGATGATGATGATGATGATGATGGTGGTGGTGGTGGTGGTGGTGGTGATGATGATGGTGGTGGTGATGATGATGATGATGATGATTATGCTGCTGCTGCTGATGATGATGGTGATGATGATGATGGTGATGATGATTGATGATGATGATGATGATGATGATGATGATGATGATGATGATGATGATGATGATGATGATGATGATGATGATGATGATGATGATGATGATGATGATGATGTTGATGATCATGTCTCGAGCGACTTGCTGGTTTTAGCACTCCTAAGGTGGGGCCGCCAGGGGTATTGCATGGCCTCCGTTCGCGCCCAAATGGCGGGGATGTCTCAGGCGGTTTGCCTGTTGTTGTGCCCGACATCTTCCGCTTGCGGAGCAGATTTTGAGGATGTCTCGTGCGAGGCGCCTCCTGAGGGGGGGCCGCCAGGGGTATTGCACGGCCTCCGTTAGCGCCAAAATAGCGGGGAAGTCTCGAGCGATGTGCGTGTTCTGGTGCCCGAAATCCTCCGCTTTCGGAGCAGATTTGGAGGATGTCTCGAGCGATGCGCTCATGCTCACCTCCCAGGTGGGCCAGATGTTGAGGATGTCTCGATCGGTTTGCTTGTTTTGGTGGCCAGACTCGTGGGTACATATTCTCCTCAGGAGGCTCCAACAGGCTCCAGGAGGCCACAGGATGTCTCAGGAGGCCACATAAAGATTCAAGAGGCCCCAGGATGTCCCAAGAGGCTCCAGGAGGCCCGAGGAAGCTCCAGGAGGCTTCAGGAAGCCACAGAAGGCCCCATGAGGCCACAGGAAGCGCCAGGAGGCGTCGGAAGGCAACAGGAGGCCCCGAGAGTCCCCAGGAGCAGGAGCGGCTCCAATCCGCAAAGTGTTATGTACGTCTGTTGCTATAGATTGGGCCTCTCCTGGGGCACGAATCCTCCCTAGGAGGTCCCAGGAGGCCCCAGGAGGCCCCAAGAGGCTCCTGGAGGCCCCGGGAAGCCCCAGTAGGTTTCAGGAGGCCCCAGGATGCCCCAGGCTCATGCGCAGAGACGCGCTCGTACTACTAAGGCTCATTCACACTCCAATTCAGACCGTCACAACTCAAGCCCGTTTGGATTAGAAAACTCTTGCGCCTAGACGTTCACGGCGGACAGGTCCATGCGAATAGATGCACATACGGGGAGCTCCACGCAGTGAGTAATTACTCTGACGCCGCCGACTCCTCAGTCAGGCCTCCTCCCATTCTCGTTTCTTCCTACGTAGATCCGTCCATACTTGATTTCTTCGCACTCACACGATTCAGAGTTGTTCACATTCAGACTCACTCACAGTCATACCCCCTCGGATTCTTTCATGCCAAGACCCTGACGCAGTCATTCATTCATATTCAGAAGATTCGGAGGATGTCTCAGGTGAGGTGTTGGACGCCTAAGGGGAGCCGCCAGAGGGGTATTGCACGGCCTCTCAGGCGGTTTGCCTGTTGCGGTGCCCAACGTCGTTTGTGTTGGCAGCCGTCTGTGAAGATGTCACAGGCGGGGCGTTGGTACCAGCACCCCTAATGGGAGCTGCCAGGGGGTATTGCATGGGCCCGTTCGCGGCCAGTTTGTGGGGATGCTTCAGGCGGTTCGCCTGCTTTGGTGGCCAACATGGTCTGCGTTTAGAGCAGATTTTGAGGATGTCTCAGGCGGGGCGCTGGTTCCAGCACTCTTAAGGGGAGCCGCCAGGGGATATTGCACGGGTCCGTTCGCGGCCAGTTTGTGGGGACGTCTCAGGCGGTTTGCCGGTTTCGGTGGCCAACAGAGCAGATTTGAAGATGCGTCAGGCGGGGCGCTGCTTTCGGTACCCTGAAGGGAAGCCGCCAGGGGGTGTTTTCACGGGCCCGTTCGAGGCCAGTGTGTGGGGATGTCTCAGGCGGTTTGCTTGTTTCGGTGGCCAACGTCGTTTGCATACAGACCAGATTATGAGGATGTCTCAGGCGGGGCGCTGGTTCCAGTGAAGAAGGAGAAGGAGGAGGAAGAGCAGAAGGGGGGAGGAGGAGGAGGAGGAGGAGGAGGAGGAGGAGGAGGAGGAGGAGGAGGATGAGGAGGAGGAAGAGGAGGAGGAGGAGGAGGAGGAGGAGGAAGAGGATAATGGAGGAGGAGGACGAGGAGGAGGAGGAGGAGGACGACGAGTTGATGAGGGATGATGGAGTGAGGTGCTGGAAGGATTGGGAGGGACTGGTGGAAAGAAACGAGTGGAGGACGGAGAGGCAAGAGGAGGAGGTGGGGTCGACGACGGATCGATCGAGGTAGTGCAGCTTTGTCCACTGTTGGTGTCCTGAAAGAGCCCCCTTCACGTGGCGGCCATCCTCTCCTTCCCGCCTCCTCGATGCCGATTCGTCAGCGCGCAGCCCGTTGAGGCCCCCCCGGGCTGTGGTAATACGTGCCCTCAAAGTTGTCGTCTCTCACGCTTGTTTTGTTGT